GACTCGATGACCTGTGTGCCCTTCATGCCCGGCGGGCGCGGGTTGATCTCGATGAGCCACGCCTCGGGGCTCTTGATCGCGCCCCGACTCTGGGTTTCGGCGGTCCTCGGTCGGAGGTCGAGAACGTCGTCCTCCTTGCGGTACTCGACCGTCGAGTTGTCCACTCGTCCCTCGAGGTGCATGACGCCGTTGCGGAGTCCCAGCCTCAGCAGCGTGTTGTGGAAGCAGATCCGGAGCAGGTTGATCTCCGATTCTGGGAGCTTCGAGGGGAACACGCTGTCGAGCTCGATGAATGTATTCGCGCCGCCGGAGCTGGAGCCGTTTGTGTCCGCGCTTTTGGGGAAGTCATCGCAAACCTCGAAGAAGAGGATCTCACCGTCCAGGAGAACAAAGTTGGCGTCCACCTCCGGACCGGCACAGTACCTCTCAATCACGAATTCACTGCCGTGCCTGGACTTGGAGAGCGCGTCGAGGGGCCCCATGGCCTCGATGAGCTCGGTGTTGTTGTTGATAAGGAATACGCCCTCGGAGCTCCAGCCGTTGCAGGGCTTGATGATGCAGGGGAACAGAGAGCTGCCTTGCGTAGCCGCGACCTGGAGGATCTCCTGTGTGCTCGAGACAAGATGCGACTTTCGTCCCTCGAAGACGCTGGTTGCATACTTATTGGTGGCGGTCATGAGGGCTTCGGGCTTGGAGCTTGGGAGACCAAGCTTTTGCGCCGCCAGGGCTACTTGATGTTGGAACGAGTCACAAAAAGTGATAATACCGTCGACTTTCCCTTGGTAAGTGGCGACTGCCTGTGCAATTCGGTCTGCGAATCCTTCGTCCGGAGGCTGGGACATTTCGATGGGGATGAAAGCCTCTCGCCAGTGTTCATACTCAGGACCCTCTAACCAGTGGCCTGGGACATCGAGAACGACCATCTTAATTCCCAGAGCCATGGCGGCGAGATAGATATTGGGTCCCGTGCCTCCATCGCTGGGGTGCTGACGACTGCCCTCAACGATGACTAGGGTCTTAGGAGCTGTCGGCGTCGTTATCCACGGGAAGGACAAGCGGTTCTCCGTCTCAGCTTCGACGAATTGTGAGAACGAGCGGGCTTCGAGTGACTCAATCCCGGGCGGCAGTGCCTGAAGGATGAGGCCACCCGCAGACACTCCGAGTAGTTCTGCGAGGTCGTCTAGTTGAGAGACTTGAACAGGCAGACCTGAAAAGAATCTCAGTGGCTCTGCTAGGGATGACCGGGCGTCTACGAACTCGCAGTCAATAAAGCGGAGCGGGATGATATCGGATCGAACGATTTGCCCCTTAACGAGCGGCACGATGAGCTTGGCGACGCGGGGGCCGCACCCAAGGCCGCTTTTTAGGGATGCGCGTAGACATCCAGAGAGAAAATCGGTCGCAAGCTTAGATGTCGAGATGGAGAAGCGCCAGTCATCGTCCCACGCGTGGCCCAGCCGTGTGTTGTTGGAGGTATCTGTTGGGATAATATCGAAGACAATGTCGATGGTTTGCCAATCGTTGCCGCGAATCGGATTTGTGTAGGCTTTCCAAGAGAATTCATAGACGGCTGACGATGGTTAGATAAAGGACTAGAGCTGTGCCTGATGTAGGTAAGGGATGACCACTACTTTACCTTCATTCGTTGGAGATAGGACTTGGAAGTGATTTCTCGCGAATTTAGATTGGTCCGGCAGATCAATGATGTCGCCCATGATGACTGGAATTTTAGTATACAACGAAAACGACTTTTTGCAATTGTTACAAAGCTGTAGCGTTCCTCTTTAAATTGGAACAATCGTCTTGCTGGATTTCTCATATGACATTAAACATACTATCTCCAGCTCTTCTCAAGACGTGGCCGCGACGAGCCTTCTCTGGCGGCCTACTTGGAGCACCATTCGAGAAGTTGCGTGCTTATACGTCTGAGTTTACCTTTCAATATGCCAAGCTTACGATATTTTGCCGACTTACACGTGCATAATATGCCTGGTTTGTGATTATCTGGTTGCTTACGTGCTTGATTACCCGATCCACAAGCAACCATGCTGCAACAACTCCACTCCATAAAAGATCCCTGTCAGCTTCATGAGAAGTTGCAAGAGTATCAATGTCATTCATATACTTTTTAATCTTAAACGGCGACATACTTCCGCCTGCTGCCGGAACCTTTCGTCGACTTCTGTTCTATGAAGCCCTAGCAATTACCGCTAAGATGTCCGACCTACTTTCCGGTCCGCGTAGGTACCTCTTCGATAGAACGCTTACCGAGAGCTTCACCATCGCAGCCTCTTTTCTCGTCGTTATCGTTCTCTACAAAGTCGTTCCGTCCCTCATTAGCCTGTACCGCTGGAAAGAGCCGAAAGTCCGCGTCCCTGTCTTGAATCTCGGCGAAGATAAGAACTACGCCTCTGCCTCAGAAAAGTACGTGCACAACTTCAAGTCCATCCTCCAAGAGGGCTGGGAGAGGTTTCGAGATGGCGTCTATCAGGTCTGGGGCATCGACGGCTTCGTGGTGATTGTTGCACCCAAGTTTGTCGAGGAGCTCAATGCCAAGGGAACGGATGTGGTCGACGTGCATGCTGCGAGTCAGACGGTATGATATTGTCCAATAATGGTCCGAAACACTCTGAACAATTAACTGATGGATGTATATGTAGCGAATCATTGGCGATTACGAATGGCTGCGGATTGCGGACCATCTTCTGTTCCATTCAGTGCAGACGGACTTGACACGACAAGTTGGTACGTGATACTAGCAGCCACCATAGTCTTCTGATGAAAACGAGGAATCCAAGGTTACTGACACCAAAAAGGTGCATTGCTCCCCGGTATGCGAGAAGAAGTTGAGTACGCGTGCTCCTTGCACCTGCCTGCTGGTCAAGGTAAGTAGTTGGCTTAGGAACCATGAAAGCCCAGTAATCTAACAGCTCAACCCTTCAGAATGGTCCGCTGCTGCACTTTGGCCTCGCATGATCAAAATCATGGCCCTAGTCGTCTCTCGCATGACTGTTGGTCCGGACCTGAGCCGCGACGAGGTCTGGCTCGATACCATGGTGGGCTTTCTTGACGACTTGTTCGCCGGCGGCTGGGCCCTCAAGGCATGGTCTCGACCCTTGCGTCCCTTTGCCGCCAGAGGAGGTTTTGTCTCAGGCATTTGCGATGTGTGGAAGCGACAAGCTACTGCCAGAGACATGTTGATTCCGATCATAAAGCAGCGCCGTGCGGCGGAAGCGGCAGCTCGAGCTTCCGGAAAGGAGTGGGAAAGACCGAATGACCTTCTGCAGTGGATGACTGATAACGCAGCTAAGGACAAGTCACCTAAGAGTGACGGCTTCGTAGCCGAGATGTGTCTCGTCTCAGGATTTGGTTCTCTTCACGCTTCAGGCGTCACCTTGACCAATGCGGTCCTGGATTTGGCGGCAATGCCGAAGTATCAGGACACCATCCGAGAAGAGAACCAAGAGGCGCGGAAGCGCCAAGAGCCAAACACAAAAGAGGCGGCGATCCTTAGCAGCTTAACAAAGCTTGACAGCTTTTTGAAGGAGTCTCAAAGAATGAACCCTACCACATTGAGTAAGGGGCCACTGATACCATGTTCAGATGCTCAAGCTAATGAGGTGAAAAGCTGCATTTTCAAGACAGGTCATGAAGCCCGTAACCCTTTCAAACGGCGTTCATCTTCCGGTAGGGACTCACATCCTCGCTCCCTCATCTATGGTCTCGTGGGATCCTGAAGTCTACTCCTCTCCCGAAGAGTTTGACGGTCTTCGTTTCCATAATAAACGGATGAACGCGGCCGACGGTGGTGCTCATAGAAACCAGTTCACAAGTTACTCTTCCGAGCAATTGCATTTCGGGTTCGGGCGCCAGGCCTGTCCCGGCCGTTTCTTCGGTAGTGCGATCATCAAGCTCATCATACTTCATTTGGTTGATAATTTCGAATTGGACCTTGTTGATAAGGAGGCAGGGAGACCTCAGAACGGGATTAAGGGGGCGATGATCACTCCGGGGGAGGAACAGGAGATACTGTTTAGGCGCAGACAGCTCTAGCTCTAGTTTATTGCAATGAACGCGAGAGGAGTTGTTGTCTTGCACTTTGCTAGAAAAGAGAAACTCTTTGATCTTGTGATTCAATTTACTGACTTCTTCTCGGCGTCCTCATTCAAGTGGAAGGACCCCAACGTATCGACTTTTGACGTTTCTGGCTTTATAATACTTATCATTCGAGCCAGGATATTGGGAGTGGTACCTTAATGAAAGCAAAGGGACAAAGTCACTCTTTCCTGTACCTTGCCAACTCTACCTTATTCGATGGTGTTGGCTCTACAACTCAAGAAATCAAAATAAGATGTACAAGATGATCGTCTTCTCTCAATACCCCAGCAATTAGTACCCTTACGGAAGACACATCAATTCGATTTACCACTTTGAATACACTGAATGCCATTGACAGCTATCTGGGCTTAGTTGCTGCAATACCCATGAACTTGATAAGTTTACATATATCTGTTCTAATCCAACGAGGCCTAGCCACATCAGTGCAGATTTATATTCTCAAAGGCGTCTACCAAGATCAGGTACTTATGCTGTCTGAATTCTCCTTTACGGAAGAGAAACACAAGTAAAACGCAACGGGATTAAGAAAAGGAAGGCAGAGAAGCAACGATGAAAAGGGAAATCAGAAAAGCTAGGTAATTTGGCGACGGGTCCGCACGCCGGTGCGACTAAGCTGGAAACTTACCGGGTAATCAAGGTTTGTAGATATGGTTTTGTACAGCAAGTAAGCACATTTGAGAGACAACTCAGCAACACTGAACATTGTCGAGTAGTAGCGTCAACCTGATATTTTTCTTCGTAATTCTAGGCGTTCCCTTTTAATCTACTGTTGTAATTATTTCAAGTCTAGTCAGTCTATAAACATTCCAAATTACCTCATCTCGTCGCGCTTAACTTGCACCCGAATACTGTGTTTATTGCCCCACACTCAAACCTTCACCATGGCCGTCCCCAAAGTTGCACCAGCTGAGAGAACGCCAGTCATCGACCAGTCCAAGACCAGCATTTTGCATCCCAACATCCACAGAAAGCCGCCGCCGATTGTAGCCTCTGGCAAAGGGTCGTACTTGATACTCGAAGATGGCCGCCGCATCTTTGAGGCGTGTGCAGGCCCTGCCGTCGCCTGTCTCGGCCATGGGAACACTGAGGTTACTCAGGCTGTTGTCGAGCAGATGCAGAGCGTGTCCTACTGCTTTGCCTTGAATCAGTCCAACCGGCCGGCCGAAGAACTCGCCAAGGCGGTGATTGAGACTACGAATGGAAAGCTTGCAAAAGGAACCATCATGAGCTCTGGTAAGTCTATCTAGTAGCTAAATCGCCCCATGTCTTGTACCTTGCTAAATGATGCAAGGCTCGGAGGCTGTCGAGGCAGCAATGAAACTCGCAGTAAAGTACTTTGCGGAACTTGGCGTACCCAATAGGGCGGGCTTCATAGCCCGAGCGGGTGCCTTTCACGGAACCACTCTGGGCTCACTTGCGTTGAGCGGCAAAGTCGCGTTCCGTAAACCGTTTGAGCCGCTCCTCAAGAGCGACATGGTATCCTTTGTCTCGATGCCCAACATGTATCGCGGCATGCTCGATGGCGAGACTACGGAGGAGTACGTCGAGAGACTGGCGTGTGAGCTCGACGCCGAATTCGAGCTTCGCGGACCCAACAATGTCTGTGCCTTTATTGCAGAAACGGTCAGCGGAAGTGTGAGTTTTCAAAGCTTCTCCATCACGTTTAGGGAACCGTTGACTGACAAAATTAGGCACTGGGCTGCCACACTGCGCCTCCGGGATACTTCAAGGCTATCAAAGCGGTATGCGACAAGCATTCGGCACTGCTAATCCTTGACGAAGTTTTCTGCGGCATCGGCCGCACGGGGACCTACCATGCCTGGCAACAGGAAGATGTGATCCCCGACATCCAGACAGTAGCAAAGGGCGTCGCTGGCGGGTACGCACCCGTCGCAATGATGCTCGTTCATCAGAGGGTGGTCGATGCCATCGACGGAGGATCCGGCGTCTGGAACCACGGGCACACTTTTAGCTCGCACCCCGTGGCATGCGCAGCGGGTGTTGCCGTTCAACGTATCATCAAGAGGGAAGGTCTCGTGGAAAACTCGATGCGCATGGGAGAGCGTCTGGGAGCGGCTCTGCGCGCTGCTCTGAGCGGTCATCCCAATGTTGGGGACATTCGAGGCCGGGGGCTGATGTGGGCGGTCGAGTTCGTCAAGGATAAGGCCACGAAGCAGCCTTTCCCTGCAGAGGATGCCATATCTGCTAGGATAAGTCAGACTGGTCTCTCTGAGCCATGGAACGTTTATTTCTATCCAGGAGCTGGAACTGCCGATGGTATTTCTGGAGACCACATTACAATTGCTCCTGCATATACTGTCAGCGAGAAAGAGGTGGATCTGATTGTTGCCAAGCTCCATGGACTTTTGCTTGATGTTCTCGGCTGAGGCAGTTCCCATTGTATTGTGATGGGGATGAACCCATACCTTGCCCTTTGGGTGCATTTAAGAAGCATGAGTCGCATCCCCGATAGACGCAGCAAATTTCTTTTTCTTCATGTAGGTAATACGACATGCGATAGTTATTTTCCTTTTCTTGAATTTATACAAATCATTTAGTAGTGTCATACAAAGCCAGATGCAACACTTGTGACGCCTATTCTTGATGCCTCGGGGACAAGTGCAATAGACTGATTGACATCGGCACCATATTCCAAAAGCAAACGCACCAGGTCCTCGTTCCCGCCTAAAATGGCTTTGAAGAGAGCCGAGTGCCCGCACCCATCTACGCTGTTCACATTGGCACCCGCCTTGAGCACGAGGCGGACGATGTTCATCTGGTTACTCTCTACGGCCAGATGAAGCGTGTCCTTGCGCTGTTGCGTCAGCGCATTTAGGTCTCCTCCCTTTTCGATCAGTAGTTTGACGATGGCCTCATTGCCGTGCACAACAGCCGCGTGGAGTACTGTTCCGCCAACTCCGCCTATAGTGGACTGATTTCCAAAGATGGCTTCGTTGGCCTCCTGGTTTTTCAACCAAGAAGATAATGATATGCCTGTCTACATGCCGATAGTCTCAGCATTGACATAAGAAAGTCTTCGACACACCATTAAATTTTTCTTACCTGGGTATCTGTGTTTGCGGAGTTGTCATCATGATCGAAAGTTGGGTAGCCCGACAGCGGGTCCATAAAACCACGCCGTGGGTTGAGGGTAGATTCGATGATGGGGTCTAGACTAAGCGCTCTGGATATCGGAGAGGACCGAAATGAGAAAGCCTCGTCGTCGGAAGGGGCCATAGTTTGGTGATCTCGTTGCGTCTCGTGATTATTCGTTGAAGTCGGCGTCGGTTTGGTGGTGCCACTCCCGCCTGAACCTGCCGGGGACGCACTCCGTTGATTCTCGAGATCCTCGATGCGCTTGAGTAGGCCTTTCCCTATAGGGTGTCAGCATCACTTACGCTACTTCCACTGCTTAGCTCGCGGGTGGGGTATCCGGATGCAACCTACTGTAGGTTCGCTGGGCCTCTCTATTCTGTTGCCGTCTCCTTTCGCTAACAACGTTGCCTGCCATTCTCAGGGTACTTCAACCGAAACGCCAAAATTCACACTTAACAAGAGCTTCCGAGAACGATATTCGTCCGAGAGAGCCGAAGAGACCGCCAAGTAATCCGGTAATATATATTCTCGTTGAGGCCAAGTCCCGAGAGCATGCGGGAAGGGTTGGATCTTCCCGAATCAGAAGATTGGAACTCAGAAGCACGGCCTGCGGGGACGGGTGTTGAAGCCGTGATGGGGACTAATGCAACCCTACTGCGGTCCCAAAGAGATCGTGACGAGTGCTGAGGGCATCCGTGATCCAGGGCGGGATCTTGGCGCCGAGAAAGGCAGTTCAACTTCTGAAAGTAAACATTGACTCGAATGTGAAAAATGACTCGAATGTGTCCGTAATTACGGGCTCCAATGACTCTCTGAAATGCTCCGTGTCTCGGGAAGAAGAGTGGAACAACATTGTGTCAGGAAAGGAGAATGTTTCCTAAGGGTCTGCATGTAGTACCACATAGCAGCCATGCGTTGTGGTCTACCATAAGTACGCTGTAAATCGTGTCGTGGCGCTGATGGCGACTGGAAAGAATCGAAGACTGAAAAGGATTTGAGTTTTGTAGGAAAATTGGGCTGGCGTGGAGACAAAGACCATTACACAAACCTTAAGCTGCCGGCATACCAGCCAACGCCATGGGCAATGTACCACATGTTCAAAGGAGTGGTCGATTCGGTTGTATTATGGAGAAAATTGTTGAAAGCGGCAATGCCGGACCCCTCCGGAAGCCCCTCCGGAAGCCCCTCCCGGAGGTCGGTCCCGGGGGGCAACACCCATGTCAGTGCGCGTGTACAAACTATCCATAAGGGTTCTGTGGAACTACACTCCACATATATCCGCCCGAGATATGGTTTTTTATGATTGGTTGTGTAAAGACACAAGCTTTTCATATTTCGTACATTAAAACAGGGTAATGCTAGGTCTAGGTCAAGTCATTTATCAGATATGCTGCCATATAGCCGAACGAAGACGCGATTTATCAATTTCGAGTGTAACCCTGGGATGTTGTTGTCCCTTTCCACCTTAGTGGCACCCACATCTGATCCACCGTGTACGGACCGTCACACGGGTTGAATGCATGTGTGGATGAATACGAATGTCCGCGTCTGACATGGTATATAAACTATAACCTGCCTGTTACTTGCCTTGGTGCGTCTTTCTTCTATCATCAAACCCTCACCTCCTCACCTGCTCGTCTTCTCACCTTGGTAAGGCGGCAAGTCGACCACTCAGAATCGTTACTGCCACTGACGGTTTCGTCGCGGTCGCCAATCATCCTCGCTGTAAGCATACTTGCTACCTAACCCACTTTTTAAGCAGGCCAGTTCACGTTGTGAACTATGGCAGGTAACACTCTATCAGATCAGTCTCAGTCTGAGAAGCAGGGCGGCTCCATCGTCCCCTCTTCGGACCCGGACCCTGAATCCATCTCCGGAACCCAGCACGGAGACGGAGAATCATCCCCTGCAGAACCAGAACATGAAGTCTACCCGGAGGGCGGTACCCAGGCATGGCTTGCCGTTGCGGGCTCCTTCCTCGTTTACTTCGCATCTTTCGGTGTCGTGAACAGCTTCGGCTTCTTCCAGACATTTTATCAACAAGAGTACCTGAAGAATTACTCGCCCACCGCCATTTCCTTCATCGGAACCCTGCAGATCACCCTGATGTATCTGTCAGGTGCTGTTGCCGGAGCACTATTTGATCTCTACGGTCCCAAAGTATGTAGCCCTGCTCCCAAGTCCCACTCCTCGGTTATAAATTCGCTAACTTTCATGTGAGTGGCTCTACCTGTTCGCTGCCATTGGTGGTGCCGGCTCCATGCTTGCGACATCCTTCACGCAGCCGAATGCAATCTGGCAGCAATTTCTGGCCCAATCACTTCTCTTCGGCCTCACAGTCGCCTATGGAGTGCAAGTAAGTAGTTTACTCTCCTCCTGTTGAACTACCAACGCTCATCCTCGGCCCCACACTCTGGACATATGGAGGACAAGTGGACCGGGTCCGGTGATGGCATGCTAGATTCATGCAGATGAATCTTGATCCCTAGTAACCTCTCGGGTCATTGTAAGCTCTTGAACATACTGACTCCAGTGTGATAGCCCGCTCTCACGGTTGCAGGGCAGTATTTCCACCGCAAGCGTGCTCTGGCCATGGGAATCGTCGCCTCCGGTAGCAGTTTCGGAGGAGTTTGCCTGCCAATCATGTTCTCCAAACTGATTCCCACCATTGGTTTTCCGTGGGCACTGCGTGTCGGGGCCCTGATCATGGTCATCTGCTACGCTATAGCCATAGCCGTCTCCTCGTCTAAACGGCCCAAGAGAAAGATGAGATCTCTTAGGGATCTGCTTGACTACAAAGGCTTTCTCGACATCCGATACTCTTGTCTCTCAGCCGGAGCAGTCATCTCAAGTCTCGGCATTTACGTTCCGTTCTACTACATTGGTAAGTGCATGAACCCACATCTTTTCGGCTTCGTACCCTGCAAATCGCCGTCTAACAAAATCTAGAGCCGTTTTGCGTCGCCCTTGATCCGAATTCGACCATTCGGCCTTACCTTCTCCCGCTGATCAACGCGGCCAGTCTTTTTGGTCGTATTATGTACGCAGTCTTCCCTGTCTCCACCCACATTCTTCAGCAAACTAACTTTCATAGTGGCGGTCATGCGGCGGACCGCATCGGACGGCTGAACTTTCTCTACCCCATGATCCTTCTATGTGGGCTTTTGTGCGTGGCGATGTGGCTCCCTGCTACAACCCCTGGCGTTCTGGCTGGCTTTGCCTGCCTCTACGGCTTCGCATCTGGGGTTTTCATCTCAGTCATGCCTACCGCCACCGGCCAAATCATCCCTGCTGATAAGTTGGGCGCAAGGCTCGGCGCTTTTGGCACCGTTACGTCCATGGCGTTTTTGACCGGCAGTCCAATCGCTGGCGCGTTGATTACAAGTGAGACCCGAGCCGGGTACCATTCTCTGATCATCTTTGCAGTAAGTCTTGCATTTCTCCGTCTTATTGATCAGAAATCATTGCTAACGGCATATTCTTAGGGGTGTTGTCTGCTCGGAGGAGGAGCCATCATCTTCGTTGCTCGGCTCCTGCACGACAGAAACCTCAAAAGCAAATGGTAAACTGACAAGTATGCGAAGGACTAGAAAGTCCATTCACATGGTAGCGTTGTGCTTCACACGACTGATCTAGGCTGCATTCTCAAACGGCAGCTCGACGCGACACTTGGATGCGATTTTGGTTGGTTGGACCAGATCACTAAACACATGAGATTCACTCTGGAGGATGGAGATGAGAAGTATGAAAGTGGATATACGGTCTGTTGGGCAAAAGACCGAGTTGGGCTGAGTTGTGACTTCTAAGTGACTACATAGAAGAAGCACAAGAGATGTGGGATGTGGGCGGACTGTGGGAAAGGAAGGTTCGAGGCTGTATAACCTATACACGTAACTTTCTCGGTAGTATTGAATTATAGCCCGAGCAGAAGATTGCCTCAGCTATGCTTACCGCTTCCAATATGGCATCTCGAAGCATAGTACATGCTGACCTGGGGCAAAAGCGATCGAAACTCAGCTTATGCACAACAGCATGTCATCATACCGCCCCCTGTTATAAAGAGACTGCCTCGAAATACATATTTAAGATCACACCGCCATTAAACGGACATCTTCCCGGTTCCCAAGACCGTGAACGGACTTTTCATCACTCTCCGAAGTTATCCCAAGCCATGTCAGAAAGCGCCACATACTTGATCACTGGAGCGGGTCGCGGTACGTGCCTCATCAAATTTACTTTCTCAAAAAGCCCCGTTCGGTACACCTGGATCTAACTGGGCATCAACTGAGCAGGCCTCGGTCGCGGCCTCGCCGAGGCGCTCCTCCAACGGCCCAACACCACAGTCATTGCCGCAACGCGCTCTCAAGACCAGGCCTCCGATTTGCTCAGCTTTCGCACCCACTCCGGAAGCAGACTAATCACCATCACAATCGACAGCCGTTCCCCGAAGGACGCCTCGCTTGCGATTGAGAAACTGGTCCACGATCATGGAGTGGATACGATCGACGTGGTAATCGCCAACGCGGGCATCAGCAAGGCCCCTACCCCGGCTGCGGAGACACCAATTGAAGACGTCCTCGACTGCTTCACTGTAAACGCCGTTGCGCCCTTGCTTCTATTCCAGGCTACGTGGCGCCTCTTAGCGAGATCGTCGACACCAAAGTTTGTCGTGATCTCGAGTATTGCCGGGAGTCTGGGCGAGGTCCCTCGGTATGCCTCGCCCTGCGCGGCCTACGGCTCCTCCAAGGCCGCGGTCAACTTCATGGTCCGCAGGATTGGGAGGGAGAACGAGAGTCTAATCGCCCTTGCTCTGCACCCAGGGTAAGCCGTCACTTCTCTCTTTCTCCCCTCCTCATCTTCTGCTTTGCATACCGTTCGATAATGATCGCTAATGAATGTCTTTGCGGGGTGAAAAGGTGGATGCAAACGGAGATGGGCAACGCTGCTGCGGTCAGGTTCGGAAAAAAGGAGGCCCCTGTCTCTGTCGCTGAGGCGACGGACTCCATTCTCACTGAGGTATGCATGCTCGGATGGTTATACGAGCTGCATTGCTCGAAACTAACTGTTGAGCAGATTGATCAAGCGACTCGGGAGACTGCAGCTGCATTCCGCACCTATGATCACAAGGAGCTTCCGTGGTGAAGGCATTCTGTGGCTAAAATCATCTATTCTGTTTGACCAAAGGGTCAAAATCGCCGGGAAAGTGTCCATAGACGAGATCAATAACACTTTTCTACTGTTTTATCCCACTCCCTGCTGTCATTGTATGATCATAATCACCCTTTGACACCGTATTTCCATGTCTATCGTGACATTCTGAGCTATTCGAAAACTCGGAGTTTTGAGAATAGCTGTATAACTCTTCTAGTGGTTGTCGGGTAGACCTAAAACCTGTGACTGAATCCATTGGGGAAGGAATCATGTGCAAAAGCTTTCACCAAGCCATACTAACGAGATAACTAAACTTCATGTTGATGTTGTTGCCTCCATGTATACTGTAGTATTGGGGGATCCCTCTGCGTTACGGTTAACGGTGCTGTGAACCCAACTAAATTTAGCGCGTAGCATGTTACATGTCTGTTACCTACCTTACCTTACCTGAGAAAGTTCAAGTTCACTAAGCCTTGCTGGTCGTATCGCTACATCGCAAAGGGTCTGAACATTGTGCTATTAGCGAGATAATACAAAAGTAACTGCTTACGCAAAGACTCAAACTAAGCAAGAAGTTAAATTTTCCGATCGCCTGTGCTCCACCTTTTTGCTTAGATGTATGCACATATGAAGCATAAGTGTGTTCAATACACATAATCACTTGCTTACCAGCATAGATGCGTCTCAAGGGCACCCCTGAATTGGGTAATTGCCTGTGCCAATATCGACGTGCTTATTTTGACCGGTCGTTTACTCTCAGCTTGTTCCATGTAGAAGCATTTTGGCATGCTGGTTAAGGCTTACCATTCCAAACTTCACTTGGCAGTTGCTTTGAGTGATGATGCAATTGAGCCAATGGAAATAGTCGAATAGTCGATGGTGACAACGGTTCGATTTTTCACGAAGATTGAAGCTGTGGCCCGTTCGAGTTGCCTACGGCTCAACTCTAATGCTGACAGGCAAGGCCCTCTAGAGTGGCATGAGGGACTAAGGAACACCGACTGTCTTGCCATCATACATGTAGCCTTACCAACGGATTCTTGGCACTGAACTGATGATTATGTTTGCTTGCCAAAACATCTCAGCAGAAGTCATTCATTCGGGACTCTTGCACGAAGATTGGGAATATCGGAGACTGGGTGAACACTCTAGTCAGTTGCCCTGAGCCATCTCCAACTTCGATAAAGGAAGCTCGCTGTCTTCGACCGAATTACATGTTTGTTCTGAGATTCATTCCTATCATTCTTTGCACAGCTTCGTCAGGTTGGCCTTCAGATTAGACTCACAAACATTTATTGGAGTGTAGTACATCACAACACAATTCAAGATGACGGCCACCAACTCAATTGAAAACGCGGCAGCTCCCGAGCCTGCCATGGAGAAGTTCCTTCTGGTCGGTGCTGGCGCTCACGCCAAGAGAACTTATATTCCCCATCTCAAGACTCTCCGCGAAGAGGGCAGGGCCTATCTCAAAGTTGTTGTCGATATCGAGCGATGCAAGGACAGAGTGGAAGACCTCTTGTTCACCAAGGGAATGGCTCCGGATGCGGAACTGGTTCTGGTCCCGGCCTACGACGGACCCATGCCTGCCGACGTCGCCGCGCGCCTGAACGAAGTTGTGGCGCGGACTGGAGTGACCTGCGCGGTCATCAGCACCGAGCCTCTTGCCCATAAGTCATATGGTCTTTGGGCTGTTTCCGCAGGTTTGAACATCATCATGGACAAGCCTATCTCGACTAGGAACGGCGCAGTCACCGACTTCGATGCAGCCTTCGGAATTGCCGAGGACTACCAGGATCTTGCTGATGCCTACGAAGAGCTCCGAAAGCGTCAGATCGCTCAAGGCCAGAAGCCAACATTCTTCCAGATGAACAGCCATCGCCGCTACCACCCTGGATTCTACTGCACCTTCGACATGATCAAGGAGATTCAGGACAAGACCAGATGTCCCGTTACGAACATCATCTCAACACATTGCGATGGTAAATGGCGCATGCCTTCAGAGATCGTGGACGAGCCGTACCACCCTTACCGTACAGGCTACGGCAAGGTCTCTCACAGCGGCTACCATTTCTTTGACATGATTTACAACTTTATGCGATCCGGCTGGTCCGACACCAAGCGCCCCGACAAGATGGAGATTTCCAGCAGTTTTGTACTCCCCGCTGGTTTCGTCACCACCTTGAACGAGGACGACTACGACCACATCTTTGGAAAGGAGGAGTACGCCAAGTGGAAGAAGTACACCGATGAGGAGCTGATGAAGCTCATGGCCGACATGGGAGAGATCGACGCTTCCATCCAAGTCACCTTCTCTCGCGGGGGTCACGCCATCGCTATCGCCCAGATCAACCTCCTTCACAATGGCTTTTCCCGCCGCAGCTGGCTGCAGCCTGGCGCTGACCTGTACAAGGGCAACGGAAGAGTCAAGCATGAGGCCCATGAAATCCGCAGCGGCCCTCTGCAGACCATCGTTATCGACTCCCGTCAGGCCAACGACAAGCACGACCGCTCCAAGCCCAGCACCGGCGAGATCGGCACCGACAACCACTTCGAGGTCCACGTCTTCCGCAACCACGACATCACCGGCGACGAGGCCCCCCTGAAGACCTTCACCGTCGCCGACCTCGACCGCCGTTACAACACCGCTATGCCCGGCATCTATTCCGAGAACGTCAAGCGCGGAATCTTGTGGGAGGCTGTGGACTTCCTCCACGACAAAAAGACTCTTCCCGAGCTCACCTCCAACTTGGCGGACCACGCCATCCCCGCCTACATCATGAGCGCCGCTTACATCTCCCACATCAGGAGAACGCGGGGTCTTGACTCTACCGTCCCCGTCGAGCTCGCTTACGGAGGTATGTTCACTTCATGATTTTGCCCTGATTTCGAGACGTAGTGAACTGACCTTTCTTCTTTCCTTTAGCCGATGGACTGGCCAAGGCCCACATTGCCGAGGCTCTGTACAGACCTTTCGAGACTGCGAGTGATGCCAGCAGTGCTACAGACGTGGACCTGGCAACTCCGCTTGACGAGCCCTTACTCACAGAAGCATCCATCAAGGCAGCTAAGCTCGGTCTGACGGAGCCTTTGGCGTCTTTGAACGCGGTTTGAGCTGGCGAATGAATAAAGACTGGTAGTCCGCCATAAGTAACCACATTGCTGAACGGGGAGGGTTAGAAAAGGCGCCGGTCATTAGCTGTTCAACGGGCTATCGCTTCAAGGTCTCGGATGCGTGTTGGGGACGTAGAATGAAAGTATGGCTATCTGGATCATCGTCTATAGCAGTATTTTGCTTATAAAAGTTATATGTTTCGTTTTTTAAACACGTTAAATGGAAGTGATGTAAATGTTTGGGTCCCAGGCTCTAAAGAACAAACTCACTTGAGGTCTTCGTTACTATGCCTTTCGCGAT